CCCTTCCCCCCAAACCTGGAGGTTAAAAACTCTTTACACCGACAGCTTATGCTAATATAATATTGAGATTCCAGATAGTCAACTGGTAATCGTGGGCATGCAACGAGTGCTAAAAAGGTCATCGAGGTCATCGAGGTCGCGAGTTCGAATCACACTCTTGGAGTTATTCTCTAGATCTATCTGGCTTGGGAGCCGAAGAACTTCTCCCCTAGTATGATTTGGAGCTGACGCACAAGGAGCAACTCTCGAACTACTGGCTTGGGGACCGAGTAGCTCCTCCCCGTAAAATTGTTGTTTTTATTTATTTTTATATTTTTGCTATCTTTTTTATTTTTAAATCATTATCAGTTTTTATCTTCTTTTTCCCTTCTCCTTTTTTTTTCGGCGCAGTGGCGTACCGGTGTGGTAGTTGAGAGATAACCTGGTGACCATACCGCTGACAAATGACGCTGGGCTCGAGGTTGCGTAATTTTCAACATGGCGGACCACGAGGGCCTTACAAACGAAATTGTTCAGAAAGAAAACCTCCGCAGAACTTTAGATCAAAAGGCGCTTGAGAACCCTACATATCAGGGTATTATGGCGTTTAATACGGTTGAAAAATTTGTAAGCACTCCTGATGATAGATACGTGCCACCAAAGTTTCCCTTTGAACTTCCCAAATTTGACCGATCGACCCCATTTGGGAATGAAATGCGAAAACATTTCTTGTTGGATCTGGACAAGTGGACGTTCTTGAATCACGGTGCTTTTGGATGTGCCCTGGAAAAAGGTCTGGAAACAGCTTATAAATGGCAGTGTTACGTGGAACAGCAGCCTGTGCGATTCGTAGACAGAGAAATGTTGCCACTTTTAGCTCATGTTAACCGTCGATTGGCTAAGTTTGTTGGTGCAGAACCAAGTGATCTTGTTCTTTTACCGAATGCGACTGCTGCCATCAACGCCGTGATTAGATCCATCGACTGGCGTCCAGGAGATACCGTGTATTACTTGAACACGTGTTACTATACTGTTAAAAAATTATTTAGGCACCTTAGAAGCACCTATGGTAAGTCAGCACAGATATATGCGAAAACACAGAGGACCTCTTTTTCACCTAATTGACTCATAATAATTCTGACAGGATGGACCTTAACACTCCTGCATTTTATGGTTGTGTCAAAGGCCATCTCAGAGATCCAAGAAAACTGAAATATTTTCTTATTTGGCCTGAGCCATTTCTCCAGAGAAAAATGTTAGAACATTTTATTTATCTTTGAGAAATGTTATCTCATACTATCCAGGAAACAAGATAGAAAATTGTCTCCAAAATTTGCAGCACCACAGCACCACAACACCATAGTCTTGTTAGTCTTGGATTGGGACTTTCCTGGCTTAGGAGCTAAGTTCACAAAAGAGATCACTATTTATTTCACAAGAATAGAGAGCACAATTGGGCCTGATAACACAGTATCATAAAGAAGAGGGGGTGGTTCAAAATGATTCTTTTAGAAGCTTCAAACTGCATGGAGTAACCACAGGGATTTACTTCCAGGTGTTACTTTAAAGGAAACTACAATCACATATCCTGCCACCAAAGAGGAAATCCTTGAAACAATAAAGGATACCCTGGAAGCAGGTACAAGACTGGCTTTATTTGGTCATATACCCAGTAACTATCCTGTTATTATGCCAGTGGAAGAAATGGTGAAACTGTGCCATAGCAGAGGTATTCCAGTTTTAATAGATGGTGCCCATGCACTTGGAACCCTGCCATTAGATTTGAGCATTCTTAAGGCTGACTATTATGTGGCAAATGCACACAAGTGGCTTGCATGCCCCAAGGTATTTTTGTTGTCTGCCTCGTTGTTTGTGATGTGCTTTGCTTACCTTTGTAGGAAAAATGTAGGGTAGAGGTTTTCTGAGAGCTGGACTCTCCAATGTTGCTGACTACTTGACATTTTTTACTTAAGCAACAAGATCTGTGGTTAGTTAATTGAGACTCCTCATATAGAAAGTGAGACAGGAGTGAATATGAGCTAGCTAGCTCAACACACCTAAGCCTCATTCCTCTCTTCTGCGTTAGATGATACGATACTTTATCATCATAGTCATCATCAGTGTCATCACCCTTGTTGTGGTTGTACTAATCAGCATTATTACAGTTGCCACAGCAGTCAATGTTCTTGCCTTCTTTTGTCACTGCCCTCAGTTATATATTCATTGCTGCTTGGAATTTTACTTTCCATTCCAACCTTACCTTTCCATCTCCTCCTCTCCTTTCTCTTTCTCTTCCACCTGATCATACTGTTCATGATTGTAGTTATTTAAAAAATGTATTTACCTTCATGTCTTGGCAGGGTTGTGCATTCTTGCATGTTTCTAAAGAACACCAGCCAATGATCAAACCCCTTGTGATTTCAAGTGGTTTTGGAGCAGGATTTAACTCCCAATTCATATGGACAGGTAAAGCTTTTGTTCATAAACTGCAAACTATCATCATGATAATTTTATCATTTTATTTTAAACTGGGGTTTCATTAATTTTTTCAGCAGGAGGGTGACTGGTTTTCACAAACGGCCAAAACTTTTTGAAATGAACTTTTTAACAAAATGAACTTTCCTCAAGATGGTCAGACCAGTTGGGCAAAAGCTTCCTTGCAACCAATGGATTTGTCTAGTGTCTGGCCCTTAATGAAAACCCTTGTGATGAAAGAGAGTGATGTGTTCCCACATTGGAACTTAATAAGTCCAGGCCATTACATGTGTTTCATTCTCCCAAGGTACAGATTAAAGGTGTTCCAGTAATCAGTCAGGGAAACCAGACAAACTATTGGGGTGAGGGGAGGGAGGGGGGGGGTCACTTGTGATGGATTTGCCACCCACATGGGCAGAGTAGGAGTACTCCTTGTCACTTAGTGCTTCAAAAAACAACATGAAACAAAAAGGAGAATCAGAAACCAGAAAAACCAAACAACAACATCAATAAACTATCTGTGTTCTCTCAGCACTTACCAGCCCAGAGTTAAAAATAGTGAGATTTTTCTCATATCTATGTTAATTTTTTTTTCTTTTACAGGTTTGAGAGATTATAGTCCCTACTTGGCTCTAAACACTGGTGAGGTTAATGAATTAGAAATCTTAAGATGTTAAAAAGATTTTTTTAAAAAACTCTTACTTTTAAGTAATAAAAGCTTTTTGTAGCATCTATTGGAGTATTGCAAAACTGATGTTTAACTGGTCAATTCCTTCTTAATTATGGATTTTCTTTACAAAAAACTTAACTGCAGTCCTTCTATTCAGCTCAATGTTCAACTGATCAGTCTTTGTATTGAATGATCAATTTAGGTTTAATCAATCTATGTGTTATTTTAGCATTCATGTACCAAACAACTCCAACTTATTCCAACTTACTCCTCTCTGGTCATCTTTTTCTGGACTGGCTATTAAAAAGGAAAACATTCACACTAAAATAGTCGGCTTGAGGAGAAATGTTTGAGGTGTGTCAGCTGAATCTAAGCTGATTTGAATGATTTGGACTGGCACTCAAAAAGTGAAAAATCTAATGTGAGAGACAAAGAGGTGCCCTTCATTAATTTATGTGTGCCTGCTCCCACTTGTGTGTAGTACTCTCGTTCTTGGGGAGCAACTGTCATGCAGTATTCAACTACTTGGACAGTCTTACTTAAAGAAACTTCTGTTCAAGTATTTCCTGGGTTTGGCCGTGAAAACATGATTTCCTTCTCTAGATTACATGTTCATTTGAGTTAGATTTTTATTGATTGAAATATTGTGTGTTTGGCCTCTTTGGAAAAAAGTGCCAGAATGAGACTCAAAGGGGAACCCTCTATGTGGGACTGTTTTAAAGTCCAAACAGCAGTTCTAGTTCCAAAATCTACCTTTTGGTGAAGGGCAAACATGAAAAAGATATCTCTCACCTCTCTTCTATCCCCAGTTTTAGACTTTTGGGTGGCCATGGGTCCTGCGAGAATTCACAAATACAACAACACGTTAGCTAACAAAGCTGCCACCATGTTGGCACAGAAATGGAATACAGGGTTGCTCTCTCATGCCCACATGTTTGGTCCAATGGTGATGATCCGTCTCCCTGAGGTGCTGCTGGACTGTGTCACACAGGGTGGGAAGGAGGAAGCTGTGAAAGCTCATGCAGAAATGGTGCAAGCCAAGCTCCATTATGAATTCAATATTGAGGTTCCTGTTAAGTTGATCCAGGGGAAACTACACACTAGGATTTCTGTTCATGTTTATAATGAGCTGAGTGATTATGAAAAGTTATGTGAAGCAATTCTTATCATAACAGATGATGTGCTGAACAATCCAGCAGCATATGATTCCTATAAACAATATAGGTAGCCAACAGTTGTATGTCTGCTGGGGCACCTCAGCGTGTAAAGTGTGTACAGTTGTATGTCTGCTGGGGCACCTCGCAATAAAGAATTGACAGAAACTACAACTGCTGGAACCCAGTTATTGCTTAGACTATTCACAAACTCCAATCCCTCTCTTGTATTCACAGTTGTTGTGCAATGCTTGATAAGGATCACTCCAATTTTATCCCAACCATTCCTATTCCTCTAAAAACGCTTTGAATTGCGCCAGGACCAGAAGAGAAATAAGAAGGGTAGTGGGCTGTCCTGGCTTCGGTATGCTGAGAAAAATCTCTCAAGAAAGTGAGCGAGCGAGAGAGAGTGAGAGGGTTGGGGGGGAAGGAGAGGGGGGGTGAGGGGGTGGGGTGAATGCACGTTCAGCGGGAATCAGCCCGTCATCAAACTGATGTTTAAGCGATGATGAAATATGATTTGAATTAACAATTACTTTGACTCAAGTTTATCAATGAATTATTGCACAATACACCTGCTATTGGGGCATTAATTGAGGCAGAAATGATATATTATTTTTATTAGTAGTAGTAACAGTAGTATTTCATTGCAATAACATCTAAATTAATATTTCGCCGATTTGAGAAGTGCGGTCGAGTGCTCTCAGTGTTCCGTGACTAAACATGTTACACCTTTTCGTGACTAAACATTTTACACCCTTTTATCCGTAAGCATATTCTCTCCTCTGCCCTCTATACATTCCCCATGGCACCGACAGGGAAAATTTGTTTGACAATCAGGAACTTCTGTAGGTGTTGCTCATTTCCTTTCTTCTCGTGACCTTAATGTGTTGAATTTAATGATAACGTAAGGAGAAATCTGATGTTAGTTATTGGCCCAGAGGTTAGCTGTGAAATGTTCCTTTTGAGGTCTCTAAACGTCAGTGTCATTGTTCCACGGTTTTGGTAGAAGGTAATAATTTGTAATTGACAACTCTTCTTGTTGATGATAATCTTGACGCAAAAAAAAAATGTCGGTATTAGTGACAGCGAAAGTGAATGAACAAGTAATTATGTGATGTACCATTATGAAATTGAAATGGAGAGTATGCAAATTTACCCTGTTTGCATCAGGGTAAATAAACTACCACCTTTTGAAAATAGGAAAATGTTTTTATTCCATGCAGCTAGATAGGGGCATTTAAATGATTATTTTGGAGCACTGATTTGTTCCACGCGAGCAAAGTGCGTGGCGGCCTACAGCCTTGCCAAGTGATATCCAGTATCATCTTTTTCCCCCTCGCTTTTCTCGTCAGACGTCGATTGCGACTGTGCCCAGTCCCCAGCATTCAAGTCTTCCATTTCGACCTTTAAATTCATTTGTCTGGCGATAGTCGCTAACAGTTGATTTTGAAGTTCCACTGTTCGAATTAAGGCCTTCACACGTTTCTTTGTCTTGCTTACTTGCTGCTGAATGTCAGATATGGTCGTTTCTGTCATCTCTGCTGAAGACGTTAAGGATGATGACTCGTCGAAAAGTTTCCCTTGGCCTTTCAACCAGGCGTGAAATCTCCTGAAAAAGAAGGAAGGAAAGAATATTTTTGTGTCATGATCACACAATTAAAACACCTCCGGAGTAATTTTACTGCAAAATGATAAAAAGAAGTATAACTCATAACTAACTTAAATTTGCCTCTGTTCACGTTTGGTTTTATCTACAGGGATGGCCTGTATATTCTACGCGTGATAATTCTTGGGTACTTGTTTTCGACTTCGGCCACAAAGGAAACTTGCATTGCCATGCGCTGGAGGGTGGCAGTTCTTTGCACAGATTCGATATCACCCACCGCCAAACCAACCTGAGAGAGAAATGAAAGAAGTACTCAATACAGGGTGAAAAAGAGGCTGCAGTTGTAATCTATCGTATTCCAGCAAGGTGATAACCTGACTGAGAGGGATGAAACATCTTTAATGTAGTCTTTCCCGAGAACAAGCCACTGACAATGATCCAGTTAGAACTCGAACCTGGACACATCGACGTTGAATCCAGTGGGCTTAACCACAGTCCACCGTGTCTACAGCCTCGAGAGACAAATATTTTGACAAATTAGCTTCTTCAGAAAAGGTGCGCAGCGTTTAAACATGGCCTTGACCATTAACAGATTAAATAGAACTACTTTCTTACCAGCAGATTCATAAGTATAATCGCCATTAGGAAGAGGAAGGCGAACATGAAGATGAGTGCCATCTCTGGGAATGGATTCAGTGGATTTCTTGTTTCATCGTTACTGGCGTCGATGCTACTGATGAACGCAGTATCGTACTCAAACTCGCCCACCATCATAACGGACACTTTGACGATGGACAATCCAAGTGAACTAAACGATTCCTGCAAAGCAATTAAAAGTGGAGTTTTGAATCCAGTAGCATTCCATTATGGCTTTGGTTTTGCTACACTTATTTGTGTAACTTGTTTTCAAACTCGGGCTACGGACTTGATTGATCAGAATAGAAAGCTATGAAAAGATAATGCATGACATTTTACCCTTTCAGCCTTTTAAACTCGAACATGCCTTATCATGATGTTTAGTACCTGTTCTTTAAAGAGGATAAAGAACACTATGGCAAATGCGATGATAAATATGAAGAAAACCACAAACACTCTTGCCACCGTCTTGAAAACCTCTAAAAACATGGAGACATAAATTCCAAAAGGCTGAAATCTTCTTAGGAATAAAATCACATTAACGTAACACAAGAAGATAGAGATAACTCCAGCTATCCATAAATTCCGCGGATTCTTCAGGCTGCCCAACGATTCGTCCAATTGTTCGGGCTTCAATAAATAAGGCAGTATGAAAAGGAGTGTTGACAAGTACAGAGCCCATTCTGTCAAGTTTGAAGCATCAGTGAAGTAACGACGCCTTTGGACCAGGAGTTGAAAAATTTCTTTGGCAATGTGGACAGCTGCAAATACCAAAGCGACGAATAACACTGCTCCATTAAAAGCAGTTGCCTTGGTAAAAATCTCTGACGCTTTCACTTTAATCTCGGTTCCATTCTCGCTTTTACGTGGATTGAAATCTTGCGCTTCTCTTTCCGTTACAATGAATATAGTATACGTGATTAGGAAGACCAAGTAGGCTATGAGATTAAAATAGTATATGTATCTTCCGAATGAAGCCCATTTTACATCTAATAGTTTCTGCGTCAGGGGATGCAGGAGAAGATCTTCACGGTTAAATTTTACCATCGTCTTGGGACCGAAGAAACGGAGCCCATTTAGGTTTGCTTCGTCATCAGGACCCGGATCGAGAAGATGGAAATCGTAAGACTCGGTGTAGTTCGGATCTGTTCGGATGTGAGACGAGCGTTTGATACAATGATCCATGACAAGGCTGGCAGCCTCAGGGAAATGTTCTATCAATATTTTCATGGGCGAGTCGTGGTTCGGGCTGCGACATTCCAGAATTTCTCGCCATCTGGGGGAAAATATCAATGGCAAGAGTTAGAAAAATGTTTTCATGTAATTTTTTTTTTAATGTTAGCCATTACGCCTGCCACCATACCCATTTTCCTTCTCATAAAACATATTTGGTTCATGTCTAGGAAGGATTCCCTTAGGAGAGTTGTTCAGTATTTTACGGAAGTTGATTGCTAAGGGATGTTGCTACCAACCTTCGGTGCTGAGCCATCATTAGAGCCACATCACCTGCACCAGAACGCACTGCCACATCTAGACATGTCTGCCCCAGATTATTTTGAATGCACACCTCGGCGCCAGAACTTAACAGCAGTTCCACTACTCTGACATTGCCATACGATGATGCAATGTGCAAAGGAGTATTTCCCGAATTGTTCAGATGATCAAGAACAGCTTTCTTATTTATGAGCTCCTGGGAGGTCTTCTCACATCCAGATCTTGTCGCCCACATTAAAGGTGACCAGCGATCGTTGTCCCTTGCATTGACATCAGCACCGAGGCGAACGAGTACCTGACATGCCTTCCTGTTGTATCAGGAGAAAAAAAAACGCATCAAAGACAATACCAAACGCGTGCAGATTACGAAGGCCATAAAACCCGCTTCTCATCCCACAGGCAACTTTCAAACCATGGTCCAATATTTTGGCCGTAAAACATCACGTGAATCCTCGAACGTGTCGCTTTCTATAAATTAGCTTTATATGAAAACTCGATCGCGCTTCCATGAAGGCTGCGATCTTTTTCTCCCATAGCAAATCTAATAATCTTAGCGAAGTCATTTGGTGGAATTGTTGACCTTCCCCACCAGTTTGCCGGCAAGCGAGGGAAACACTTACTGGCCATGAGCAAGAAGAAGCCGGCCATCATTTCGAAATAACCAAAACTATTGAATCAACTCTAAGATTCTTTGCCACCTAAATGAAATAATGGTCATAATTGGTCTAGACGAATATTCGTAGCCCTAACTTAGTTGTGGTTCTTTTTTGTTTTTTGAAGCAAGCGCTTACAAGATGATTTGTTCAGGGTAATATTTACCTGTTTCCTTTCATTGCCGCCAAGTGAATGGGTGTCATTCCATCATCATCTCTTTCATTGATGCCAGACATGGCTCTACCCAAGGCCTCGATATGTGCGACTCGGCCGCTTTGAGCAGCAAGATGAACTGGCGTCTGCTGAAGTTGGTCTTGAAAACAAGCTCGGGAATACTTAGTTAAAAGGAGTTCAAGAATCTGAAAACGCAATAAACAGTTTCTTAATAATGGTCTAAAGTACAAGCAAGTAAGGCAGTTATTTCGTTTTATTTCACTTCGGCTGCCAATTTGATGAAAACTTTACCTAAACAGTATGTCAGATACAATGAAATATATGAAGTTCATATATTTTGAACTGCGGTATTAGATACGTATGATGCACGATCCTCGCAGTAGATAGCGCTATTTAAGCAATAGCGAAAATCAGACCTGAAAAAAAAAAAATATGGTTGATATATATCAACCATACTAAACAGTATGGTTGATATATATCTTTTTGATAGCATATTTAGATTGTGAGGCGAGGAGGGTGGGCCAATTTTGATGAAAAGTTGCCCCCTATCATTACGAACTATGCGACAACCTTGCTTGTCCACGTTGGTTA